TATTTGGATATTAAAAAAAAAAATAATAATCGAGGCTTTAAATGAATAAATGAATTTAAACTACTCATACCTCGAAAGTCAGTCATATATTTACAGAATGTACTCTAACACGGTCAAACAACAGCTGATGAATGAATGTACTGGCATACAGCCTGCGATAATAGTCATGCGTAGTCTGAAAATATCATTTTAACGATCAAGATCTACTGTCTGTTAGTAATTAGCGCAGGTGCTCCTCAAAACGACATGAGCGTGGATCATTCCGACATGGTTGTAATTCTCCTTTCCTTTCCCCTTCATCGAGTTGTGATCATTTTTTGTCGTTTTTGTTTTATTGTTTTTCTTAGGCCAAGTAAAAATAGTTTCTCGTCCGGATTTTTCGAAAGTGCATGACGAGGAGAAGGGCGTCTACGTTGTTTCAAATAGCTTTGTTACGGAATACCCCCCCCCCCCCCCAAAAAAAAAAAAAAAAAAAAAAATTCTAGTCATTCTATAACAAAGCTAGATCTATATGAAATTCAATATTTCATCAACTTGATGTTGATATTATTTTGAATCAAGCACGTTTCACTCTTTACAAAAGCTTTGTTGGAAAAGAATTTAAAAAGAAAAGAACAAAACAAAGACTTCTTCATATTTAGTTTTACCTATTGAATTATCGTTTACAGATAGAAGAAAATATTTAAAAAAAACATGTATATACTTCCAGAAATGGAGGCAAGTGCTAAACATGTGAAGATGTTTATATTATTATGAGGAAATAAAGAAGACCAGAAATGGTTATTTGATGAATGGTTGATTGGAACCAAAATGTGGTGGTAGCACCTTATGTACCATATCAGTAATTTGTAGAATTTTATAAAACTACCCATAACAGTACTCTGCTCTCTCGAAAGGTCAATCCGTACCGCTTGGAATTGACCTTTTCCAATACTCAGTACTCCCTTTAATTGTTATTGCTGGCATCTTGTTTATTTTTTACATATATATTTATTAAATCACCTTCTCAAACAACAATGTAATACTGTATTATACTTTATTACTATTTTGATGGTGGCTGCACCAATAAAGCCTTTGGCTTTCCTAGCTGTCTCCACATTCATATATATATATATATATATATAATTTGTTGTTGTATTCTATTGTAGATGTTTCTCTTTAACGTGTACACTATGTTTTTTATTTTATATGTTTGTTATGATGTTTTTATGATGAATGAAATAAATATGAATTCAATTCAATCAATCTTAATTGGCCCAATCTATTTTCTATGGGTTGATAATGTCATGATCGAAAGTAATCATAGGTAAATAACTCCCTCTTTGATTTTGTTTTCTCTTCTGATATTAAAAACGAAAGCAGTTTCCTTTTCTTCCTGCATCGTGCTCTAATAATGATAATGTTGTTATTGATAATAATAATCATAATAATAATAATAATTATTATAATAATAATAATATACCAAATCAACCAGTCTCTCTCTCTCTCTCTCTTCTCTCTTCTCTTTCTCTCAATCTCTCAATTCCTCTTACCTCCTCTCTCTCTCTCTCTCTCTCTCTCTCTCTCTATCAATCTCCATCTCTCTCCATCCCCCCTCTCTAGCTACCTGACAACAAGTTCAGCAAAACATCAACAAAGTACCGAAGCAATATAGTGTCATTCTGAAGCTTAATTGATTTGAAGCACAGGAAACCTTTAATTACAAACTAAAAACATTTTTTTACAGGGATACATTTGATTTCCTTGCTGATAGTACATAGTGTTATTATGTAGATATATAACCAAACAATGAACATTATGCTTCATGTAGTAGCGCTGCATGGGTCCAAAAATGGGGGGGGGGGGACCAGACCTGCTCAGTAGATGAATCGTAAATTGACAATATCATTTCTTGAAAAGAATGTGAAGGAGGAGACGTAGCAACTTCCTTTCATGTTCTCTTTCCTCTATCCTTTATCTTCTTTCCCATCTTTTCCCCTTCCATTTTACATGGTCCCCCCCCCCCTTCAACGCCCCCTGTAGCTATGCCATGCCACTGGCTAATGTACATATATGATCTATACATGTGTACAAAAAAATCTATCATGTATCAGTCATTAGCCCTGGGGCTTCTTGCGTAACAAATTTTGTCTAGATGCATATAATAACAATAATATAAATAGACGAAAAGTCATAAATACATAATCCTGATAAGTTGGAAATCAGGTTAGGTATTGGATAAAGCTGGGGGAATAATATGATTGCAGAGCCTTCAATGAGAATGATATCTAATACTGATGAGGCTAATCTTGGTAAATGAGACCATATCATTAACCATCATTAACCATTATGATTATTATAACTATTAATCATTATTATTATCATTATCATTATCGAACCTCAACTCTTAATGCTACAAGCCCCTGGTAAATTGGAACACATGGTAATATGATTTTAGCCGTGTGTTATCATACAGAGCTTCGTGAGACTGTTAGTATGATGCGATGGATAATTGAAAGTGAATAAAATGGAAAGGAGGTACATAATATAAGCCATTTTCCGGATGAATTAACAATAGAATATCATAGCAGTGGCCCCAGAAAGTGGAAATTGGGAAGCTACCGTACTGAAACAACTTTAAAGACGTACATAGTAGCAAAAAGTGAGAGTGTAAAATAGCAAAGGAGAGAGAGAAAGATTGCAGCAGGAGAGAGGAGAGAAAAAGAAAGACAGAGAGAGAGGAAAAGATGGGAGTGGGAGAAGGGAAGCAGGAGAGATATATAATGGAGAGATATATATGTATAGAGAGAGGCAGAGAGTTATGAGGGAGGAAGGGAGAGAGGAAAAAAAAAAGAGCAAGAGGAAGAGAGCTAGGAAGGAGGGAGAGAGAGAAAAGGAGAGACAAGGAGAGGGAGACAGCTAGGAAGGAGGGAGGGAGGGAGGGAGAGAGAAAATGAGAGAGAGAGCTAGAAAGGAGGGAGAAGGAGAGGGAGGGGATAAAAGGAGAGAGAGAGGGAAAGAGAGAGAGAGGAAAAGAGGGAAAGAGGGAGAGGGAGATAACAGGAAAGAGAGGGATAGAGAGAGAGAGAGAGAAAGAGAGAAGACAAACAAATTTATATAAGTCATAGTATTATGGCAGGAGGAAGGGGCCTAATGTAATCAAACTAATCTAGTATTTAGAGGGCTTGACCAAAATTATCTTAATTAATTCTAGGGTCAAGGTTACCATTGTTGTACAGTCTTGTATAATTCTAACAGTAAAGAGTTTGTTAGCTCTCCTTTAATGTATATCAACCCAAGTCCAACTTAGTCTGCAAACAGACCCAAATTTGACACTTTATCAAAAAATCATTGTATCTTGAGAGAAGCCTAGCCCAGCTACCTACTGGTTGTGTCAATATAGGGTCTGTACAGGTTTATCAAAACTGTTTCAGAAGGCCAAAATCAGGAGCAGCTACAGTACATGGCCTATGGTAGTCTTATATTGCAGACTCACTTTTACGACTGACCAGGGTTTGTGCTTGCAGACTAAGTCCAACTTGGGGTCCATGTGTGCAGTTTTAGGTTATCCTTCACACTCATAAAGCTACAGTCCCATATACGTCCCGGACCGTCCCGGACCATCCCGGACCATCCCGGACCCCATCCGGGGTGATCCGGGATTCGGTCCGTGTTGACACCGTGTTGGCTCCGGGGTGGTCCTGGATGGTCCTGGATGGTCCTGGATGGTCCTGGATGGTCCTGGGCGGTCCGGGAGTCGACCCCGGATGTTTTTGACGGTCAAAAACTGCCGGGGTGGTCCGGGACGGTCCGGGGCAATAGTTTGATCCGGGGTGATCCGTGTAGCCACCGTGCTGGGTCCGGGGTCATCCGTAGTGGCGCCGGGGCGGTCCGTGTTGATCCGTGGCAGTCCGGGAGTGAGTTATTGACCGCCCAGGACCATCCAGGACCATCCAGGACCATCCAGGACCACCCCGGTGCCAACACGGTGTCAACACGGACCGAATCCCGGATCACCCCGGATGGGGTCCGGGATGGTCCGGGACGGTCCGGGACGTATATGGGACTGTAGCTTTTAAAGCATCACACTTTTTTGAACAAAACATCCCGGACCATCCCGGATCACCCCTGGGGTGATCCGGGATGGTCCGGAGTGGTCCGTGCTCGTCCGTGCTGGTCCGGCTTTATATGGGACTGGGGCTTTACCTGTAAGCCCATAGAATTAGAAAGCGGTAAAACTAGTTTCTTGAGGTTGATAGCTGTACACATATTATTTTTGCAAGTGACTGGTGCCCTTTAAAGCTATGCTACTTCAATTTTATGAACAGTTCAACAATATACAAATATATATACTTTTATATTTACAGATAATATAACAAAACCAAAGTTTCATTTCCTTTTGGAATAACAAAGATCATTAGCTTTAGAGCATTCAAAGGGATTCCTTCTAACCGAGTACCCATTAATTTCACCTTTTTACAGATAATATAACAAAACCAAAGTTTCATTTCCTTTTGGAATAACAATGATCATAAGGTTTAGAGCATTCAATGAGTTTTTTTTCTACAGGGTACCCATCAAAGGATATTCTGTACTTAGGAAATATAAAGTCTCTTTCTGAAATCACATACCTGAAAAAAATGTTGCAAGAAATATTCATCCTTTCTTACAACCAGATTTAAAAATAGACAAACAAATGGCATTTTTTTTTTTTTTAATATCTTTCCTAAGGGAGTTTGGTATGTCACTGTATTTACTCATTTTACTGAAACAGAAATATGAACTTCTTGTTATTTTATTAACAGTTTTTGCCATAATATTACATCACTTTTCTCTTGCTCTTCTTTTTTAGAACAAAATAGAATTCTAATCTGGTCAAAATCCATAGTCGACTGCTAGGAGCAGACAACAGAAATTGAACAAAGGAAGTTAGCCTTCTGCGCTGGTCTTGGATCCAGATTGGAGGCTTGGAACTAGAAGGACAAAGGAGGACCTGGACTAGACCTAGTCTAGCTTTTCGCTGTGATCTTGCACATTGGCCTAGTAGTAGAAGACTCCAAATGCAGCCGCTACACAAAACAGAGAGTCCTGTAGAGATGGAGGAGAAAAGATGAAAAAGAAAAAGAGAGGAAAGAAACTCAGGTTAAAGAAGAGGCTGGGTCTGAACAAGAAGAAACAAGGTCACCATGGCAACCAGTTTGAGATGTATGATAAGATGGAGGGGGAATTTACATGTCTGGAGAAGCCTACTACAGATCATAAAGGTAGGTCTTTTAGGATACGCCACTTGACCGACGGCTCGCGAGACCATTGGCCCATCAGACCAAAGACTAGTGAACCTTAAAGGTAAAGACCAGTTTTGGAAATGCCCCCCTCTCAAAAAATGAAATGGAAGCTCTATTACCAATCATGTGAAAAAATATGTTTGACTAATACGTGATCATACAAATTTTGCAGAGAAACTGCCTACTAAATGATATATTTGATAAATTATTATATCTATTTGGACCTGACAGATATAACGCACTTGTCACGCACGTGTTGGGATAGTCCCATATACATCTTTATCTTTAATGTCGGTCTCCTGGGCTGATGATCTTGAATCCTGTAATAACTTTTAGAAGGCCTGAAAAGTGGAATGTCAGTCTCATGCATTTGGTCATTGGTCTTTGGGGTTATTGCTAGATCTCTTTGACATCTTTAAAGAGCATTTGTATAAGTTTGTGTAAAAATATCTTTAATAGCTTTTCATATTTAGCCAATAAAAACGGTTGAATGCTTAAGGATTGAAAGGAAGATAACTATTTCATCATAACTTCAACATCACCTGGGGGGGGGGGGTGTTTCACAAAGACTAAGATCGACATAGTTCAAGTCCAACTTAGGTTGATCTTAGTCTTTGTGAATTGAAACACTCCCCATTAATCAAATATAAAACTTTAGTTTTATGAAATACAGAAAATAATGATAACATGAGGACAATTAAGACAGCAACTACTGACTATATCTTCCTTAGAAAGCAGGGAAAAAATTAATATTTATTTTTCTGGGGCTACTTTTCAAGCTTGCCTGCATGAAAATAACACTCTAAAATTTGTTTTGCATTGAACTCTATGCAAATTTACAGGGGCTCTTTCGGGCATTTCATTCGCCCCGATCCCCCATGTATTTTTTCACTGTTCGAAATGAACAGAATATTTCAATTTTTCAGTATCCTTGCAAAAAAAAAAAACACAGCACAACTTTACAAATGTACATACATGTTTTTATTTAATCATTCTATAGCGAAGATGGAAGTAAATAAAAACCTATATTTGTCGCGCACCGTCCCTGTACATTGCACTATGCCTGTTGGAAGGAAGTACCGTAGAGAAACTGTAAGCATTCTGGAAGTAATACAAGAACACTGATGCTTCCCCTTGTATACAGATAATACAGTCATATGGGTAAACAAAGTTTACATACATGGACACCTGGTAGTAAAGCAATATCCATTATCACAACTTCACTCATTCCTGCCAAGTTTTCACTTCAGGAAGATAGACTAGTTTGATCTCTAGACTAGTGTACACCCATGAACTCAGCGTCAAACTACACTACATGTACTTTTTTGCTTCTAAGTGCATTTTCTAATTTGTATGACTTTTTCTTGTAATTCTTTCGTTTTCTATTTAAAGCGCATAGGGACATGCTATCCTGTCATGTGTTATGCGCTATAAAAGAACTGAGTATTATTATTACTATTATTCATTAATCCCTCTGAGATATGACAGGAATGAGTGAATTTTTTGAAATTCGAGTCAAATATGTTTGTCTTTTCCCAGATGTACATGTACAAGTATAAACTTTCAGGCCCAACTGTATGCACATATGCATGTGTTAAGTAAGTACAATGTGCCAGTTATTTGCAGTTGCCAAAACAGACAACTACTACACTTCAGTTCAGTGCTGGGCAACAAAGAGATAAAGAAGACCTCCATTTTTCTACAAATTCAGTATACCTTACTTCTTATCTAGCTCCATTTATCTACCTAGCAGCACTTTATTACATATAAACAATCAACTTTATGATGGTTTAAGCAGATTTCAAGTCCGTTTATTTATACTTGAACAGTGAAACCTTGTTGTACAGCACTGTTATTTTAAGACTCGTTACAACAAGGTAATTGTATTGGTGCCTCCAGGTATCATATACCTTGTAAGTGATAGAACAATTAAAGGGGCAGTCCACCCTGATATTAAGTTGGTTCGAATAGAAGCAGAAAAAAAGTGAGAAACAGGTCTGTGAGAAAATAAGGAAGTTATGTATTTCGGAAGGTGCAATCAACCAAACACAAATTGGCAACTCTGTGAAGTATCTTGCAAGCTCGATCCCCTTCCATTTGTCTGTAACAAAAAATTATAAAAAACTCTATATTTTCCCTTAACGGTATTACTGTATCATTTGCAGGCCAAAAAAATGAAAAGGTTAAATTCCTTGGGCATTTGAAAGACAATAGTAATTTAGAACTTCCTTCAAAACGAAAGGGCTTTAAAATGGCTTTCAGTTGGAAAATAACGACCATTAGTTTTCCTGTACAAGAAAACCAGTAAAGACATGTACCAGACCAATAAAAAACAATGTTGAACTTTCTGTTACCTGTCACATGTTTTCCTTGCATATCCAACGATACAACAATTCAAAATTTCACACTCTGCCATCCCCACCCAATAGCCTATATGTACGTATATACCGCTACCTACATTTCCTTTTATTGAAATTTCAGTTTTGGTATGAGTCAGAGAACATTTTCATTGTTACGATATATAGTTGGTATTTCCCTTCCTTTTTCTTTGTTTCCAAGGTCTTTTGTTTACAATAAAGGCATAAAGTGCAAGGATGCATGGAAATTTAATAGAAGTAATAATAGCTTCTTTGGGAAGAATTTGTTCCCTTAAAATCAAAGCAAAATGAAATAAGCCCCCCCCCCCCCCCCCACCCAGCAATCTGGCATACCTTAATTAAAGGAAGGAGTGCTATCTGACAGTAAATTGGTTTCAATTAAAGCATTAAAAAAAAACTGTTAGCCCACAGTATTGGCACATTTTTTTTTTTTTTTTTTTTTTTTTTTTTTTTTTGGGGGGGGGGGGGGGGGTGTGTGATTAAAACCCTTAAAATGTAATAATGAGACAAGAACAATGCTAATTAGGAGTATGAGTGAAAATTCTGAAGCATATCTATGATATAATAAATAGAGCCAGAAATATAAGAGGGGATAATGAACGACCTACAGTAGCTCTGGAAAGTTTCTGGAAAACTAAATAATATGCACTAGATATTTCACCAAAGGGAAAAAAAGACAACAAAGTTACTGTAATAAAAAAGACAAATTGAGAAGGGAAGGGAACAATGTTAACTTACGCTCATGTAAATATCCTGTGCATAGTTGTCAGTATCGGAGTCCCAGAAGCATCTACAGCCCATCCTACAAAAGAAATAAAATACAATTTCATAAGCAAAAAGTTAAACAAATAAAAATCACAAATGGGGACACGACAAAAGCCTTCTTGATGGGAACTGCCATACAGTGTACATATATCTTTATGCCTCACAGTAATCGTGTGTTTCTAAATCTACTCCCCACAGAGTGGAGATGGTGCACCCAATGTGTGCATGAATGAATCTAATGACCGGAGGTAATAATATCTGACAAATATATGACAAAGAAAAGTGTAATATGCTGCACATATATACATGTAGAGCTATTAAAGTGAATAAGCACAAGTCCTTTGTTAAAGGTAAAGACCAGTTATGGTCATGCGATTGCATTGTGAAAGAAACGTTGCGGAATCGATCAGAAAAGGTTGATCATCTAGCATCTAGCATCTGCAAGGTTCTGGAATCATCAAAATGATAAGAAATTTGGCCCATTCTTTGTAAAGTTACAAGCACTATACACAGAAAGATGTATATGGGACTACCCTATATCTCTCACAGACCATGAGAGAAACAAATTTACCAAATATATGAATTAGTAGGCGGTTTCCCGGCAAAATTTTTATCATCATGTATTAGTCGAAACATATTCTTTCACATGATTGGTAATGAGAGCTTCCATTTCATTTTTTGAAATTGGGGCGTTTCCAGTACTGGTCTTTACCTTTAAAGTGAATAAGCACAAGGCCTTTGTTAACTGCAGTAGTTGCCATTCATTACAACACTTCAGACAAAATGCAGCATTATTTTGGGGCCATTGACAGATTCATATCTTCAAGAGCCTATAATTAGTCTAGTTTGTGTCTGGATCAACTCTAATTAACCTTCAGTCTGGCAAGTTTCAGAGTGCATGGTTTTGGTTTCAATTATCTACACCACTAATCTGTGAAGACTGAAGAAGAAGGATGACATACATACAGTGAAACTTGTCTTTTAAAGTCGCCACCTGTTTATAGTGGCCACCAGGCGCGTACGCAGGGGGGGGGGGGTGTTTGGGGGGTTAAACCCCCCCCCCCCCCTTTGGTATTTTTATGTGTATAAACCCCCCTAAACCCCCCCCCCCCCCCCACAGGAGCAAAATGTCAAATTTTCAAATTTCGAGACCAAACAAAAAAAAGTGTCCTCTTACCCCCCCCCCCCCCCCCCCCCCCCCCCCCTTATTCAGCGGCCAGCTGAGTTGTTGCGATTTTTTGGGGACAAAAACAAAAAAAGTGTCCTCTTCCCCCCCCCCCCCCCCCCCCCCCCCACCCCCGCTTATTCAGCGGCTGGCTGAGTCGATGCGAAATTTTCGGCCCGATTTAAAAATGTTAAAACTCCCCCCTTGAAAAAATCCTGCGTACGCGCCTGGTGGCCACACATTTTATCTCCCTTGAGGGTGGAATTATGTGTGTTGTAGAACCTGTCTAGAAAGGCCACCTATCTACAATGTTCAAATGATTTTATTTCTCATGCAAAAGATAATACGATGAATAATTATATTACAAAAATATGCAATGAAACGACAAATATAGTAGAAAAAAAGCACGAGAAAAGAGGAACTAACTAGAAGCAGAGCTTGTTGAAGTGTTAGTTCCTCAGATGCTGTTTCACAATATAACATGAACAGAGTATGCATAGAAAATCAACAAATGGAAAAAATTGGTAGCTAAGAAATTATAGATTTTTTAGGGGAAATAATAAAAGAGAGTAAAAAATGGAGGAAAATTGTAGAAGACAAAAAGACAGAAAGATACAAATGGCCCCTTTCTTTGTCTCCCTTGAGTATTCTCAATAGCCAGGTTTGACTGTACATATCAATGTACATGACTTTACAAAAAATCCAATGATGAGGTACTCGACAGTATAAATGCACCTACTGAAAAACGTTTATTATATTGGAGTCCTCTAACCAAACTTCATGAGATCGTTATTTCAGTTGGTTTTTCTTCCTACATTTCTAGCCTGCTCATTTCCTCTCAGTTGTCATGGCAATAGAGGGAATGTATTTTATGAGGGAAACTGACCACTTTTGTGGCGTCAAAACACAATAATAATGACAGGAAATTTCGGGATGACAGGAAGTGATGGCCGGGTCTCGAGTACTACCATCTGTTAATATTTGTGTTTGGGTCAGGTCCCAGGTGAGGCAAGAAGTCGGTTCGATATAATGTACATGTGCAGTCAAGACCGCTTTATTGGACACCTGTATAGAAAGACCACCTGTCTATAAAGGCATCTTTTTTATTTCCATGGAATAGTGATCATCATTGGAACATGCAGCTTACTGTAAATAAAGACCACCTGTCTGTAAAGACCATCTTTTTTTATTTCCCTGGATAGTGATTTACATTGGAACAATTAAAGACCACCTGTCTATAAAGACCGCTTCTAGTGTTTCCTTTGGATGGGAATGGTCTCAATATACAGGTTCCGCTGGATAATGATTGCGTACATGCAGGGGAGGAGGGGGGGGGGGTGGTAAAGGGGCATTTAATCCCCTTTCATCATAAAAAACTTTCCCCAAAGAGAGATATAGAGATAAAGTCAAACCTGCTTTAGTGACCACCTGTATTTATATAAAGACCACTTTTCATGTCTCTCTTGAGTGATCTTTACATACAGGTTTCACTGTAGAACAAATGAATGTATTTTCGATTGGATAAGGAGAAACAAAGCTCATCCTGAATACCAGGGTTCAGATAAGTAAATATGCAAAAATGTTGTAGAATATTAATGTTTCTTTGTAATAGTTTCCTCTGGTGTAAAAGGGGCTATACTCAACTAGTAATACAAAGGTGTTTAATAAGACACACCCATGGTGTATGATAAACTCCTGGGAAACAATCAATTAAGGGAATTGGGTCGATCAGCTAGGCTAGCTCTATAAGTTTCACGACAATTATCTTAGGATGATAGGCATGTGATATCAGCTCACATTTTACATTTGTCATACACAGACAATGTACATGTATGTACAATGTTGTATGACTCAGAGTCAGAAAGGGAAAAAGAGAGAGAGAGAGAGAGAGAGAGAGTGAGAGAGAAAATAGAGAGAGAGAGAGAGAGAGAGAGAGAGAGGGGGAGAGAGAGAGTGAGAGAGAAAAAGAGACAGAGAAAGAGAGAGTGAGAGAGAAAAAGAGACAGAGAAAGAGAGAGAGAGAGAGAGAGCTAGGCAGAGTGAGGGGGAGGGGGGGGGGGGGGGGGGGAGGTATATGGACAGAAAAAACAGACAGAAACAGAGTATGAATGGATGGCTGTAACAGAGCCATCTATACACAGAGTGTGGCCAACCTGATTCGAGTTGGACACAATATGGCGACTACTGCTTTGTTGGGCAAGCACAAAGCAAAAGAATATACGCCATGTTGTGATCGACCCAGGGAAACCAAGTTTGCCAAACTCTGTATATAGATGGCTCTGGGCTGTAATAATGCAGAGCACCCTCTCTTGTCCATTTCCTTATATTAATTTTAAATCAAAGTTATCTCTTGTAAATGAAATGTATTTCTCATGGCATTACATGTTTTAACTAGCAAACATCAGATGCAATTAGAAACTTTTTCTTTTAAAGACCGTCAATACTACTAGGCCAGAAAGGATTAGACCACACAGCGAGGTCACTGACAGGTGGCTATCTCATTAACTCAGCTCTCAACTAACATAAGAAAAAGAGGATCATGGGGTACAAACAGGCACCGATTGGGGAAGTTTTCTATATTCAGAGGGCGCAAGTAGCTACAAGTAGGACAGTGGGGCTTTAACTTGCTGTTGTCTCTCCATTTCAAACATGAGAATAAACACGCATCCCCGTTCTTCATTTGTCTTGCTTAGTAAAAGAAGACTTTTAAAATGCCTGGGTCCCTTTTTGAATAATTATTTACTTTTTTTACATAGTGAACTAAAAGCGCTTCATCTGATACAAACAATAAAAACTACAAACAGCCATGAGAGAGAGAGTTTTACTAGTGGGCGACGCACTTCTACCATGAAAAATAATTACCTCACGTAATTAAAGGTATAGACCAGTTTTGGAAACGCCCCCCTCTCAAAAACTGAAATGGAAGCTCTTATTACCAATCATATGAAAGAATATGTTTTGACTAATACGTGATGATACAAGTTTGGCCGGGAAACCATCTACTTATTGATTAATTTGGTAAATTATTATTATATCTATCCGGACTGGATAGATATCGTGTAGTCCCACATACGTCTTTGTGTATACAGTGCTTGTAACTTTACCAAGACTGGGCCAAATTTCTTATCATTTTGATGATTCCAGAACCTTGCAGTATACACACCAATACTTACAGTATACGCTAGATGATCAACCTTTTCTGATCGATTCCACAACGTTTCTTTCACACTGCAATTGCATGACCAGAACTGGTCTATACCTTTAAGACACTGATTAGAGAAGATATAAATCAAGTAGAATCACTACTTACTTGACTCCTTCACCTCTCTGTTCTCCTATCACGACTTGGATGATGAACTTGTAGCGGTCTAATTCGAGTTCTGCAAAGACACACAAAGAATTTATGAGCAAAACAGAGAGATTACTTTCCTTACCTCCTAATGCTCCAATCAGCAACAACATTCTATGCTTTAGGCTTTCAAGTTTAATATAAATGGATATAATTCTGTAACCTTTTGAAGAGACACATGTATGTAGGTACAGGAAGTGACATTATTCTTGTTTTTCACCTTCTCATTGTAGTTAATTATTTGTTGTGGCTTGCTATTTTGTGCTATTCATTTACCGGTATTTAAAAGGAGAGGGGGGGGGGGGGGGGTCAGTGTTTCCAGATGTTCTTTGGTGCACATAGCAGTTCCTGACTACACACGATGAACAATTTTTTTCCCATGTTTTCAAGCCAAAGTTGCTTGTGCTATTCATAGTTATATACATGTAAATACAGGCCAATTAATGTATTGGGCTTTAATACTTCAAAGCACCGGTCATCGCGTGGGGTTGGGTGGTTGCGCTACCCGACCTTTCGTTGAAACATGCCCCTTTATTCACGAAATGTCGGGGGTAATGTGTGTAAAAAAAATCATGTGTCTAAAAATGGTCTGGTCTGATTTCCCTAACATTTTGTGAGAACCCTTTGGTAAATCTACGAAAGGCGCCATCGTTTTAAAGTTAACGTGCATCTTCACATTTTTTGTTTCACAAAAGATTGTGTAACACGACCACCTGACCGGACGCAATGCCCCAATGTTTTGAAGTAGCCTAAGTATCTTGCCCCCTCTCCCAACTTCGCAGGAGCACCCATAATTACCTTTTAACCTTTCCTTAATCTTCTCACTGATTTGCTTACACCAGGCAGTCGTCTCCTCTGCACTGTACTGCTTGTCTGTTAGCTCCTCGTTGAGTACTGTGTGGATCACTGCCTTGACTGCAGCAGAGCGAAATCTAAAGTGAATAAAGGAATCAAACTTGGTCATGCTAGTATTCAATATGAAATCTATGACTACCGGTAGAGTATTTTTACAATATTTGTTTGTTTTGTCTGCTCAATCTATTGTTCCATATTCCACAAAATAAATTGTCTCACACAAGAGAATGCATAAAAAAAAACAATGATAGACATGATGATCATGTGAAATATGGGGAAGCTATCCAGAAGCAAAGCTTGTACATATGTATATTATAGGTTTCAGAATGAAATACAAAAATGTTGGAACTGAATTTGATAGCAAGAAAGACATAAAATAAAGATTGAGTCACTGATACAGAAGTAAAATGACCATGGTGCAAGACTTGGAAGCTGGGAAATTGCAAAATTCTTGATCATTTCATGCAAGCGAAATTGTCATGTTTTCTTACGAATGTCACATTTCTCTTCTTAACTTATGAGTTGAATAACATAGGGTCTAATTATTGTGATTAGTCTAGTCTATTATTATTAAACAAGATCTGAAAGACTATCAAATGACCCTAATATCCCACCCTCATAAGTTTGAACTTGAAGCAAACAAATACATGTTCATAGAAATGTGTACAGGCCACATAAGCATGTAATACAAGGTCATTAAAATAACTTGATGACTGAAGTCACTGATGCCTTGTTGGCTCAATTGGCTGAATGAAACCATCCGGCCACAGCCACTTTGTATCAGCATGATCAGCACAGGAAAATGAATAGATGGGACTGTAGACAAAGAACTGAAACTTACTTCTTCAGGAAATTTGGACGGATCGTGTAGGTATTTGGAGCGGCGGGCTCCTCCTTAACCGGTTCTATAGTTGCGTTTTCTTCCACCTCCGTCATGTTGATGAAATAATCACTTATTTATACGGAAATAGAGGGTTGTATTAACGTTGAAAAATGACACAACTCACTCAAGACGAGAGCGCGTAACCCATGTCAACAATGATACTTAACGACGAGTTTCTCCCTCTCGAATTTAGGTTGTATTGTAATAAAGTATATATCAAAATGATTCTATGAATGGTGACAAGCTCACTGATATATCACGAATTATACCAGGTTTATCCAGAAAAATAGAAAAGAAATGTGTAAAATTATTCTCCTATCTCCAATCGAGACCGGTCTAATTTTATCGACTCGATAAAAAAAATTACTTGGGTAGTTAAAATGTTTCTGACGACAGATGGCGGTATAACAGAAACAGCGCGAAAGATCGTGCAGCTCCAGCTCCTAAAATTTCTCACGGTATGTTTAGGAATTAATTACCGGTGTGAAAACGATGGAGGAACGGAGGTATGCTACATCTGGAACTTAATATATCTGATATGGAAAGGTTGTCATCATGTGTAGACTATTCTCTCGTCGCCCGGAGGGTTTAAAGATGCCGTCGACGTAATTTGTTGGATTAAACATTGGAACGATCCGTGTGTTTTAAGACCAGCTTGACCGTAGTAGTGGTGGTGTCGGCTTGTGCATCTGCAGGTGGTTTTGTTGTTGGAAGCGGACATGTCTTCCTCGACTGCTAGCTCGGATACCGAGGGATGCGGTAAGTCTCCTTTTTTATAGAAATCAACTCTTGAGTAAAATGAGCGCAGCCTGTTTCAAGAAACATTCTATACTATAGCATAACATCTACTAGGGTCTAATTCATTGTATTTTCGTGTAAAACATACATATAGAATGCATAGTTCTAGCAAAAGAAAGAAGAAAATCTGTTCTCAGTCATGTCGGTCTTGAAATTTGTTAATTTTACTACCAGTTTACTTGATCTTGACCATGTCGACAAAGATACAAATGCTTGCATTTACATGATTTTGTGATGATCGTGTTCCGGATGGAGATGACTCATCGCATTCCAAATGCCATAAATGCCATGCAAGCATGTTGTCTGATGTCATGGACCAGTGGTGGTGTATGGTAGTGATGACGCAGACAAGGATGATGATGATGGAAATGATGATGGTGGTGGTGATGACGATGAAGATGGTGGTGATGGAAATGATGATGATGATGGTGATGACGATGAAGATGGTGCATGGTGATGGTTTTGGAAGTGATACAGATGAGATGGTCATTATGCGGGATTATACTGGATGGAAGGAGGAGGATGATGATAATGTTGATGATTTTTTTTTATGATGATGATGACGATGCTGCTGCTACCGATGATGATGGTAATGTTGATGATGTTGATGTTGAGGATGGTGATGATGAAAGTAATTACGATGGTGGTGATGGTTTTGGTATTTTTTAGTGATGCAGATGATGATGATGATTAGGTCATTGGTGATGGCAAAGGCGATGAGAATGATGATGATACGGTTTATGATGATGAGGGAGGAGGAGGAGGAGGAGGAGGAGGAGGAGGAGGAGGAGGGGGAAGGAGGAGGAGGAGGAGGAGGAGGAGGAGGAGGAGGAGGAGGAGGGGGAAGGAGGAGGAGGAGGAGGAGGAGGAGGAGGAGGAGGAGGAGGAGTAGGAGGAGGAGGAGGAGGGGGAAGGAGGAGGGGGGAGGAGGAGGAGGAGGAGGAGGAGGAGGAGGAGGAGGAGGAGGGGGAAGGAGGAGGAGGAGGAGGAGGAGGAGGAGGAGGGGGGGAGGAGGAGGAGGAGGAGGAGGAGGAGGGGGAAGGAGGAGGAGGAGGAGAGGAGGAGGAGGAGGAGGAGGGAGGAGGAGGAGGAGGAGGAGGAGGAGGAGGAGGAGGAGGAGGAGGGGGAGGAGGAGGAGGAGGAGGAGGAGGAGGAGGGGGGAGGAGGAGGAGGAGGAGGAGGAGGAGGAGGGGGGGGAGGAGGAGGAGGAGGAGGAGGAGGAGGAGGAGAGGAGGAGGAGAAGATGATGTGGATCTACTCGGGTATCAATGTTAGTGGTAGAACTTAAAGCTCTGCTTGGAGGAGTTTTTAATATATATATTTTGACTTTTGCTGCTTTCCTCCTTTTCCACATAGCTGAAAAATACTTTTTTCGGTCTATACACCATGTATGTTAGTGGCTGATCTGATAAATAATAATCTGAAGTATTAATTTGCTATTGTCATGCTGAGATTTTTAAAGGCCAATTCTGCACAGATAGACAATACCAAAATACTTTCTTTGAAAAATTGAGGAACACATATAATGTACATTGTATGCTGTACACGTGTACATTGTACGAATGTATAATTTACACTGAATTTAAATTGATACTGCAAGTAGACCGTGAACATAAATTACAGAACATTACGTACAAATGTCATGTCACATGTGTTTCATTGTTTTATTTGCAAGAAGTTGAATGGGGGATATCTCTAAATGGATTGGTTATGATATTGATATGTCGTCATCAATGTACTTGATATTGATCCTAGAATAGTATTTCTTCCCACCACAAGTATCAGGGTTAGTCCACTAGATATTTAGTCATTTTGCGAGACCCCATACATGTACATTACCAAGGATTATTGTGCAGTAACTTAAATGTCTTGATCGAGATCTACATGTACAAATGTACGTAAAGTATCATTTTAATTTAACAGTATAATAACAGTCGTTGCTAGGTAGGGCAAACGTTATGGCTTCTCCTACCTAACAACATGGTAATATAATGCAATTCACATTCTAGCTATTTGAATTACATATTTTATTCATAACAGGTGAATGAAATATTTTGTAACATGGCACTTTATAACAAAGATTTTTGCTTTAAATTTGATTACATTACGAAAATGGTGTATTCTAGCTCATGAATTCACTGAATGGTATTTGAAGCCCGCCCCTCCCCTGACTCTTGGGACAGAGGGACCGCTTGCATGTTTCCAAAATTTCTGGTGAAGGGTTACTTTTTCACGGGGGCAAAGTCCGGCCCGCCATTGACCTTCACACTGGAGATAGGGGGGGGGGGGGGTGATTTCAAAAAGAAGGAACATGCGTTTGGTACCCTAAATAACACTGGGGGGGGGGGGATTTGAAGGAACTGAACAGTCTCCAGCAAAAACTTGTGCAAGGTTGGTATTGGTTGCAAGTATAGAAGGAAGAGACTGCACTCTTTGGACTGGTACGGCCATTGCATTTCATTTCCTGATGAAAGGATCTAACAAACTCTTTTATTTACATGACAATAGTTCTGTTGTAGGTGCCTCGAACGGGAGGCTGGAGTCGTTGAAAGAACATTGATTATTTCTGATTCTTCTCGAGTTCTATTACAAAATGTTTTCTGTGGGGAGCCGTGTCTATATTATTGCGGGGAATGGTAAATTCAACACTGTAGTTTTTAAGTTGAATCAAAATATTACTTTAAAAAAAACGTAAATCAATCATATGAAACATCCTTAATGTTGGTTACAATGTCTTTTCTGAGCTGTTGAAGTTAAGCCAGAAACTTTAACTTAATAGTACAGTCAACCTGCTTTAGAGACCACCTGTACATAAAGATCACCTGCCTATAAAGACCACATACTTAATTGTTTCCTTCGAATATGGTTTCTCATTAAAAGTACCTGCACTATAATGTACATAAAGACCACCTGCCTGTAAAAAACGCATTTCATATTCCAATGAGAAACTATTTTCAAGGGAAACAAAATGTGTGGTCTTTAAAAATAAGACGTCTTTCTATACAGGTGGTCGCTAAAGCAGTTTTGACTGTATGTAATTTATAAGTTAAATGCTGTAGGCGTTCTTATTTCTATCTCAATTCAGTTGTTTTATTATATTGTAAATATTGTTATCGCAGCAATATGTTGTGTACAGTAATTGTGAAAATATTCACAAATTGATAATAAATACATCAAAATACATCAAAATACATAAAAACACAATTTCAGCAAAATTTGCAAGTATTATAACAGCACTGGTGATATAAAAGCATTTATATGACAGGTGCCGTGCAGTGAATACAACTGAGCGAGCAGCATATGGGCGAGCACTTTACCCCTGGCAATACAGTGTAACAACTAACAACTGGGCTTTGCATGCATAATGCACAAGTTTTTTTAATTCAGAGCATGACACAATAGACATGTAATATGACTCTGGATTCATACTGTGCCATCCATTATCATCCATTAGCTAGTTGCCCTTTAATATCTGTCAACCTAATTATAATAGTAATATTAGTAGTCATATTAAATGTACAGCCAACAACTAAATAATTCATACTCCTCGTAAATTTGATTTTGTGTGTGTGTGTGTGTGTGTGTGTGTATCTCAAGAATAAAAGGCAGACTGGTTGAATTAGGGCCTTTGTTGAAACAGTTGATTACTTTTAAGATGTAAGCTTTAATTTGTCACATTCTCAAAAAACATAAATCAGGACAAATCAATTTTTAACATATAAACAAAAATACGAAACTTGGTAAGGGTATGAATTATTCAGTTGTTAACTATATGTCAGATTTTGTTTGACTGTGACATACATGTACATGAATATAATAACTTAATTATTCATACCCTTACCGAGTTTTTGTATAAGTGTGTGAAAAATTGAATTGTCCCAATTTATGTTTCTTGAGAACGTGACATATTAAAGTTTACATCTTAACGCAGACCTATAAACCCTACATAGATTCTATTATGCATTAGCAGAAAAAAGTTGGTAACCAGGGGCCAGTTTCTCGAAACTGTCATAAGTGCAAGTTCATGGACATGTCGGAGTATCGTGTTATTTCTATCACACATGACTCTATGGGATGTCCAAGGAAAACAGATTTAATGACAGTTTCGACTTTCGAGAAATGGCCCCCAAAGGTTCTGAAGAGAAACAGGCATTGAAATATAGGTCTCTGTTTTAAAATCTAAACAGCTTTTTTGTTCTCCCTAGTTGAAACATGAAAACTGTTCGGTAGATAAATGTATAACAAATTGATAGGTTTTTAATCATAATGTTAACCAACGAAGTGCAACTTTTAATCTGTTTTTAGGTTTTGATTAATTCCACTTTTTTTACTACATGTATGCAAGACCGTGAGGTAATCATTTGCCCTATAGCTTGCCAAAACTCCCA